TAACCGATTGATAATGATGTCGCTTCGCTTACTGAATTCGATGGATTGAGCCACCTCGTGGGTGTCTCAGGTTGAACTTAACAATTGGGGCTGCAGGTTGGGTGACCCTGATGCACGAGTCGCTTCGCTTAACAATGATCACTGATTGAGCCGCCTCGTGGCCGTCTCAGGACATTCATAATTAGGGTTGCACAGATGAAGACATCCACTATGGTCGCTTCGCTTGCTAGGTCTCGTTGATTGAGCCAGCTGTGGCTGTCTCGGAACCTACAGTTTATGGATGCGCCGCTTGGTGATGTGCAATAGGTCGTTCCGTTACGGACCACGCTACGATCTCACCCCATCCCCTAAAGGGTCCCCTTGAGGGCGAGACCTTCGCTAACACTCCTTCACTCTACTTATTAATCGAAGCTGCTTCCTGACGCCCTTCGGTTGTCCCGACAGGATCACCTGCGGTGGGCACTTGCACGGGGTCGTTCCGGTCTGGTTACGGGGCACGCTTCGCCCAACCGGTGGCCCTGCAAGTTGCAAACCTTATACCCTTCATTACACCCTCCTTCTCGATCAATCCTCCTGCCCTTCGGGTGCTTCGCATCCCCGCAAGCGGGGACAGTCCGGGTTGAGCGTTCAGGAGGGCTTCATTACGGGTAACGGTCTGCAAGGCCACCTCCTTTGGGCTACGCTAGCACCCCTCCACCAGACCTTCACTTGACGACCCCCCCCCCCGACTTGAGCTATGACCTAGAAATGGCCCAATCGACCTCGAGCTCGAGTATGACTCTTAAATGGCCCAACTGGGGGGGGGGGTCCAGGATCGATCAGGGGTCCTTATTTCAATTGGGTCTAATTGAACATCAATAAATGGGCCATTTTTGGACCTCCATAGACGATTTTATCAATAAATGGCCCAAATGGATCCTGGGACCCCCTGACCTCCGATTGACCCTCAGGACTCTTAAAATGACCTTCCCGGGGGCGTGCGATTGTAGACCCCTCGGATCGGTTAAATGGCCTGATTGCTCAAATGAATTGAACACCAATTGAACATAATTGCGCGAATGGATCTGTGGATGGCGGGAGGACCTACTTTTTGTGTCACCGAATCGGATTGAGGGATTCATTTATAGTCCGTTTAGGGTCATTTTAGGGGTTAAAAGGGATGGCGGGTGGTTAGTTCGTTATTAATAATCGGGGTTGCATGGGTGGCGGGAGGGGTAATCGGTTTCATTACCACTAATAATTATGGTTGCACCGTTATTTTAGGTTGGGTGCTCGTCAGGTGAGGTGGCTCGATTAGATCTAGTTGGATGGCCCATTTAGGGTACCGTGTTGACTGGGTGATTCATTTATAAATTCAGGCTGCATCGTTGATAGCTCGATGGCTTCTTTTTAAATAACCGTGGCCTTCGAGCGAGGAACCGCCCCCGCGTTTATTAGGAGGATCACTCATTATTAATGTTGAGTCATTTATTTGAATTGCACGTTCGTTAGGTGAGGATTATCATTAATAGCTAGGCGGGTGGTGGAATCAGGATGAAGTGGAGGTAGGGTGATTCAGTTAACAATTGAGGATGCACCGTTGATCGATTATACCCGTTATGGATGAGTTACTGTGTAGTTGGTAGACTGTTCGCACCCGTTTATTTAGGGATTATCGTTATTCATTGAGGCTGCCTACATTATTTTGGGTCACACAGTCAGTGGGTGAGGTGCTCGTTTAGGGGGTGATGGAGGGTCGATTCAGGATTATGTGCTGAATGGGTGCTTTGTCTATAGATTCGTGCTGCTCGTTGATTGAAGAGACCGTTATTTTATACATCGGGTGGGAGTTGGTCGACTCTTTCGCCCTGTAATTTATAGGGTGATTCATTTATAATTAGTGTTGCATGGTTTCATCGGGTCATATGAGAGCTGGGTGAGGTGTCACGATTATAGCTGGTTTAGTGAGTGATTAGGGGTACTGTGTTGATAGGGTGACCTCTTTTTAAACTGATGCTGCACCGTTTATTAGCTGAGACGTTATTTTGTTAGTCACCGTGGATTTGGGTGGGGTTAGCCACGCATTTATTAGGACATTGATGTAATTATTCTTGCTGAATTGTTTATGACTCGTTAGCACTCCTTCGGAATAGGAGCCAGCTGTGGCTGTCTCAGAGCTCGAGTTTAACCCTGATAGTCACTACTGCAAAGAGACTCCCACAGACGTCTCAAGCTAATTTAAATTCATGTTGCACGGTTCCTTGTTACATTGGCTACCCTATCGATGGGAGCCAGCTGTGGCTGTCTCAACGAGTTCGATGCATTCTACTCCCATCTCATGAATGGGTCTGCACGGGGTCGTTTCATTACGTTACGGGGCACGCTCCAGGGGCCGGGTGGGGTCAGCAAGTTGCCCACTTATAACTCCTACCATCGACTACCATCGATGTCCGGAGTTAACGCGTGCAAGACCCCACCCTTAAACCCCTTGCGCTAACACCCCTTCACTTCATTACACTTGCTAGTCCCTTGGTGGTTAACGATTAGAGCTGCGGAGGAGGAGTATAATGCTTGCGACGTCGACCCCAGTGTATACAGGGTGCCACGGTCTCTCGCCTGCACCATTCGCACACATCCTTAGATCGGTCCCATACGACTGCTGCGGGGTGTTTAGGGAGGGTGCCACTTCAACATCTTTAATCACTTAGTACCTTCGGGTGTTCGGTGGTCGAGGTGTGGGGTGGTACCCTCTTGGTGGATGAATGCTAACCCGAATGCCAGTGGGGCGCTAGGGGGGTGGGATGGTAACTAGAGCGATAATACACGAGTAGGGAGCTTACTGCGGTGGTCATGTTCGGGGCGCTTGCTTGGCCGACTCTTCTTTAATGTACTCATCTTTTTTGCAAGGTGGGGCGTTGAGGGAGGGTCTGCTGGGCAGGTGTTCTGGAGGTGGCTGCCGCAACAGCATCGACTGCTTCCCAGAAGTAACACCACCGCTGCGGGGACGTAGTGGCTGGACGGTACCGCTCTCTTGACCGAATGGTTGGGGGGTAGGCGTGAAAGGGGGGTGGGAGGTGTTGGGTAGGAAGTAGTCGTTCAATCAGTACTGGATAGCACTTGTGGAATTCAGTGTGACCACCTTGCAACGGGGCCTCCCATTACCTGCATGCTATAGACGCATGATGTGATGTTGGGACTGCTGGCGGGAGGGGTGGGGCTTCTGGCGTACCTTGGTACTCTGGGGCTGTTCTTGAACGATGGTGACGGGTCGGTCTTCGGGGGCCTGCCTCATTGTCTTCGCTAGGAACTCGAATCTTTTCATGTGAGATGCTGACTGTGTGCCCTTGTGGCCCGGGTGTCTTGTGTGGGTTGATTGGGGTGTTGGGCGAGGGTGGTGGGGTGGGTTCTTGGTAGGGTGACTGATAAGCCGATCGGCCGGTGATTCGTTGAGGACCTCTTTTGGTGGCTACTTTCGGGTGGTACTAGGGTGGGTCTTCTATGGGTGACTGGGAGGTGGGCTGGTCTTCATTGGTTGGGGATGGTGCTTGAGGGGTGGGTGCGATGGGAAGAGGGGTCCTTCTTTATGTGGGGGACGGGGCACACGCGAGGTGGGGCGGTGTGTCAAGTGTCTGGATCTGTATGGTAGCATGCGACGGTCGATCAGTGTGAGGGGAGGCGACGTTCATCGGTTTCATCTGAGGGTGGGGCTGGTCCGTTGGTACGATGATCCATCCTGTGGGGCTGTTGGGCGAGCTGTATGATGCCAGGGGCGGGTGCATCTACTGGAAACGGTGGGTGCTTGTTACTGAATCACGTTCGGATAGAACCCTGGGCTTCAGTGAACCATTGTGCTTCATTAACTGCTGGCTCTTAACCAGTGGGTGGTGCGGTGGGTGGGGTAGCTGTCGCGGTGGCGAGGGGTGTAGGGCGTGAGGGGGTAGCGGAACATCACTTCAGTGGTGCTTGTATTCTAATCGTTAAGGTACCCGTCACAATGATCTCCCTCCTTAGTTGAGGTCCAATCAGCGCGTGCTCCCCATCACAGTCGAACATAGGTCTACAACAGTAGAAGTTGCATCTGAACGGTCCCACCGAACATGGGGGCGAAGATGGCGGCTGCTGGGCCAGGTGTCTCTTCTAAAAGTGATGGATCGAGAAACTGTACACGGATTGGGGGGGAGTTACACAAACAGAGTTGTGGGGGCAGGGGGAACGTGTGCGTATGTGTAACCCTACGCGTCGTCTTGTATGATTAACTCCAACCAGAACCATGGACTAGCGGGGTCCTTGTAAACTGGGTGGGTGAGATTATTCATATGGCGAAGCAGGTCGAGGGAGGTGCTGGGCGAGGACCCCAGTACTGAGCGATGGGAGAAACGGACTACGGGTTGTGAACCAGGGAACGGATCGCGGTAAGGTGTGGCCTATGAGCCCCGAAGCCGGTCTGTTTATTGGAGCGATACCGGCCGCCCTACTTTACACTACAAGAGCACTTCTTACTTTAACGCGTGGGTGCAAGTGTTGCTGAGGTGGTAACGTCATACCTGACGGGCGCCTTCAACTTCTTCTGGAACTGACTCCGTCCTGGCGGCGGGTGTTCGGTGCTGTCCTGCTGCTTTGGCGGTGGGGTGGTGGTCAGGAAGGTGGGAGGGCGGGTGCCACGGTATGCGTTCCTACCACCAGGGTATGCCTTAACAGGCGGTGGCGTCCGAGCGTGGACGTTAAGTGGTCGTTACTTCCTCTACGAACACCAGAAATGGCGGAGTCGCTTTGGCGGCGTATGGGGTCGGCTCTAACCGTGGTGAATCGGCTCACGGTGAAAGAAGTGTCCCCTGGTGAGCCTTTAGTGCCACTCGTACCTCATAAGGGGAAAAGGGACCTGAGCGGAAGGTGCTTCATTGGCACTGGACGTGAAGCGTGTGGCCTACGTGATAGGGCTAACGAGGAGCCAGCTGTGGCTGTCTCAGATTACTGGTGGTGCTTCTGGGTTATACTGAAAGGCGCCGCCTGTGGCCGTCGCAGGGCCTGGTGTAGTGGTAGCGCGCTGGTCTCCAAAGCCAGTAGGCAGGGTTCGATTCCCTGGGTCCCTTGGGTGGTGTTGAGTGGAGGTGCTGCGTAAGGTGGTGTTAGCGGAGGGGTTTAAGGTGGGGGCTTGCATACCGTTACCTGGAAGCCTTCCCTTCGGAGTGCTCTGCCCGGACTAGTCTCCAACTTGTTGGAGATGGCGTAGCCACCCGAAGGGCTAGGAGGACAGATCACGGAGATGGGGAGGGTGGAAGGTATAAGGTTTGCAACTTGCCAGCCCCCTCCGGCCCCGAAGCGTGCCACCTGGAGCAGTGCCGGAACGACCTTGTGCATGAGCTGCCGGCAGGCTTAATGTCGGGACAACCGAAGGGCGTCAGGAATCTACTAATGGCTTACCGGCCAAGGGGTCCCCTATGGGGATGAAACCGGCTTGGGAGACTAGCTTAACACCATCCTATTTACCCAACTCAACCTGCACGGGTCACCTTCCCTCATAGAGGGCCCTTGCTTAACACCATCAGCTCCTTTAAACTCAGGTTGCACGGGTCGGCATCGTCCCCATAGGGTTCCCTTCGAGCCTCAACGACTCCGATCCCAACTGACTCAAGTCTGCTTCCGTCCCCAGAGGGGACCCCTCGCTCTACCTAACGATCTCCGCTGCACGTGACTCAACTTGCGTCTAGCTGCTCTTCCCCCGAAGGGGGCCACCTTCCGCTACGATCTCATCCCCATCAGAGGCAGCATGTACGAGGTCGGCGTCGTCCCCATAGGGGTCCCCTCTAGCCTTATAGTTTCAACTACAACTTAATCCCCATAACGGGAGCCCTTGCACATATCCCGATAGAACTCGATCTCCGTTAAACCACCTTGTTTCCGTCCCCATAGGGGCCTCTCGCTCTACTCTACGGTCTCCGCTGATTCCTACAGATCACGGTTGCCTGGTTGATGGACTTGCACGAGGTCGCTTCGCTTATCGGTTCTAGTTGCATGGAGCCAGCTGTGGCTGTCTCAACTACCTAGTCTCCATTTGTTGTGCGAGACGGCCACAGGCGGCTTACCTTGCTGGTCATTCAGTCATCCTGGGTAGTTATTTTAAACATAGTCGTGGAGTTGGTGGAGGGTTGACCCCTGAATTTCGTTAGGTGAATCGTCTATAAACTAATGTTGAACCGTCTCATGGTCATAGGGGGTTACCTTACCAATGGGAGCCGACTATGGCCGTCTCAGGTCATTAGGTCGCTCCGCTCACTGATTCCTGATGGATGGAGCCACCTCATGGGTGTCTCAGGTCGTTCATTTAAATTAATGCTGCACATGTTGGTGGTGATAATGTCAACCCCGCTGGCTAAACTGGTGGTGACGAGGTCGCTTCGCTTACTAAATCGAATGAAAGGAGCCGCCTGTGGCCGTCTCAGAACCTCCACTTTAAATCACTGCTGCACGAGACAGCTACAGCTGGCTCCTTGGTGATGGAGTCAATGGTGAGGTGATCTTCCTGATGATTACGTCCATCGTGGTGATGGAGCCGCCTGTGGCCGTCTCTGAGCATGGTGTCCTTAGCCTATGCTGAACCGTTGCACTTGTTGAGACAGCCACAGCTGGCTCCCCTGTTGCTAATCCTTTATGATCGTCATGAACCCTGCTTAATTCTTATTAATTCCCGCTGCAAGGAGCCGACTATGGCCGTCTCAGGTCGTTCATCTAAATTAGTGTTGCATGGTGGAATGAACAAGGGTCGCTTAGTGATGACGGTTCTGACGTTGATTCGGAACGAGGTTGATAACTGGTCCTTGTTATTCATGTCACTTCGCTTACCAACACCGCTCAGATTGTTAATCGATGTTGAGACAGCCACAGCTGGCTCCCCTTGCTATATTATTATGGCGATCCTGATGCTCCCGATAGTTGAGCCGCCTGTGGCCGTCTCACGTTGATACTAACCCGGATTACTTGAGACGGCCATAGGCGGCTCCTCTTGCTGAACCATTTAAATTATTGCTGCAGGTTGAACGTGAACGATGACTTAGGATGACTGATGAGGGTAAGGGTGACACCCTTGATTCACAGGTCGCTTCGCTTAACAATTGTTTCTGCAGACAGTTGTGCCTGTCTCAGGTCATTCACTTACAAACCCTCGCCGCTTGGTGGAATGAATACGATGTCGCTTCGCTTATTAACTAAACTACAAGGAGCCGCCTGTGGCCGTCTCAGGTTGATTCTGCATAATCAGGGTTGCACGGTTGAATAACTTTACTGGTGTTGAGACAGCCACAGCTGGCTCCCCTTGTCAAATCTACTAATCAGCACTGCACTGTTGATGACGAGCAAGGTCGCTTCGCTTAACATCACCACTAGAATGAGCCGCCTGTGGCCGTCTCGGTGTATGACTTACCAATCATTGTTGAACTGGTGATACTGTTGAGACAGCCACAGCTGGCTCGGTTGGTGGTGATCGTAAGGTCGTTGGTGATTATGACCACCCCTTGTACCATGTCGGTGGAGACCCTGGTGATGATGGTCATGCGCTTCCCGTCAACTCGTCCTTCAGATCGATTCTGCACTCCTTGTCGGTGATTGACAGGTCATTCCTGTTGGTGGAACAGCTGGTGGCGTTGGTGGTGGTCTTCCTGTTGATCGGTATATCGTTCCCGTCGTTTGGTACCCTGATAATGTAGATTATCATGTCGCTGGTGATTGAGCCGCCTGTGGCCGTCTCAGGTAGCCCCTACTCATTCATCTGAGCTGAGGTGTTGAGACAGCCACAGCTGGCTCCCTTAATTGATGATGAGGATGTTGATTCGCTTATTGAACTTAACGATTGAGCCACCTTGTGGGTGTCTCATGTTGAATTATTAATCACCGCTACACTGTTGAATGATGTTGAGACAGCCACAGCTGGCTCCCTCGATGGGAAGTATTTAGGGTCGTGGTTGCATGGGTGACCTTGATGATCATGACGAGTTCCCGATCGAGTGAGCCGCCTATGGCCGTCTCAAGTAGTTCATTTAAACTAGTGTTGAAGGTTCAGCTGGTCATCCTTAGGAGGGTGAGCCACCTCGTGGGTGTCTCAGGTGGATGGTTCATAAGTGTTGCACTGGTTTCAGGTCACGACTGGTTATCCTTCGGAATAGGAGCCGGCTGTGGCCGTCTCGGGTTGATGACCTCTAAATTACTGCTGCACGGTTTCATAGCCATATTGACTCTCCTGCGGAATGGGAGCCAGCTGTGGCTGTCTCAGGTGAGTTAGACATTCGTTCTGGTTGAGACAGCCACAGCTGGCTCCCTTGGTGATCGATGTTGGTGAGGGTGATAACGCTCGTTTAAATCATCGCTGCACTGCTGAATGAGCTTGAGGTCGCTTCGTTTACCCTTACTGCTAGACTTGTTAATAATCACTGCTGCGTTGTTGAGATGGCACCTGATTCTTCCCTTAATCATTATTATTTAAACTGTTGAGACGGCCACAGGCGGCTCACCTTGATAGGTCGCTTCGCTTATTGATGGTCGCTGATGGAGCCACCTCGTGGGTGTCTCAGGTAGAACTTATAGATCAAGGTTGCACGGTGTTGCAGAATCTGTTGGGTCACTTCGCTCTGAACTCAATTGAAATGAGCCACCTATGGGTGTCAAGTTGATTACGATTGTTTGGTGTCATGAAACTCTACGAGGTCGCTTCGCTTACCACCACCGCTCCATTGCTTCATCCAGGACTGGTCATTCGGTTGTTGAGACAGCCACAGCTGGCTCCCCTTGCTAGGTTGATGAGGATCGTGTTGATTGATGATGAAAGTGATGATGTTGATGATTATAACGATGTTCATGTTGACTGATTCAGGATGCACAGGTTGCTTCGCTTACTGGTGATGGTGATGTTGATCATTAATCATCCTTGCTGCACTGATGATGAAGATGTTGACGTTGATCAGGATGAAGATGATGTTGATAACGGTGACGTTAATGATCATGGTTGCAGGTTGTTGGTGTTGGTCATCATGTCGCTTCGCTTACCGCCTTAACTGGATGGAGCCGCCTGTGGCCGTCTCAGCACCTTACTAACAATTACCGCTGCACCGTTGAATGAACTCAAGGTCGCTTCGCTTACCATGACGAATGGATGGAGCCACCTCGTGGGTGTCTCAGGTTGAATCATTACTAATCAATGTTGCACTGGATGAGACAGCCACAGCTGGCTCCCTTGGTGATCATGACGTTGACCCCTACCTATCACTTATCGCTGCTGCATTGAGCTCTGCCATTCTTGGCGTCGAACCCCGTATTCATCCTGCACGAGGTCGCTCACTACCAGTTAAACTCGTTGAGACACCCATGAGGTGGCTCCTCTTGTTACTCGACGCTGCACTTGATTATGGTGACACCGGCTGGTTATGAGGTCGCTTCGCTCACTGATTACGATGGTGGGAGCCAGCTGTGGCTGTCTCAGGACGCTTATAAATTATTGTTGCACGGTTGAATGGTCAAGTGGTTATCCTTCGGAATGGGAGCCGCCTGTGGCCGTCTCAGGACATTAACAATTATGGTTGCTCGGTTGAATGAATCTTGCTAGGTCGCTTCGCTTACGTTGATCATGGGTAATTAACTAGCTCCGCGTTTAGAGGATCGTTACGAGGGGCACGCTTCAGCCCTACCGCCCCCCCTTGAAGTTGCGGACTACACCACCCCTCCTAAGGTCGGGGATGGCTTCGCCTCAACGGGGGGCTCACGGGCCTACGCTAACACCCCTCTTCACTACTACCTGGCGGGGCTTCAATTCGACTCCCCCGACTTCAACTATGACCTAGAAATGGCCCAATCGATCCTTATTTCAATTGGGCTAATTGAACATCATTTAGGCCTTATTTTAGGCCATTTTTTGACCTCCATAGACACTTTTCTGGGTAAATGGCCCAATTGATGACTCGACCTCTGGATCCTTCGATTGGGCCATGGGGTCTGTAGTTAGGTCTCCTGGAGGACGTGCGATTCGGGACCCCTTTAATCGATTAAATGGCCTAAATGAGGGATTGAATGGAAATGAGTTGGAATGAATTGAACACTAATTGGAC